CTATACGTTTCCTCTGAATTCAGCCTATGGTCTTTTTTGTTTGTTTGTTAGTTAGTTTGTTTGTTGGCTTTTGTTGTTGTATTTATATTTGAGCAATGCTGGACATTTAAGCCTGACAGTCTCAACACAACTAAACTTAAATCCTGTTTTAGCATTTGGAAGCTGCTGTCCTGTCCTTTAATTAAAAACAATAGTCTGCAGCCACACCGAATGAGGTCAAAGATTAGGCTTGGGTCGGGGTAATAAATAAAACATAGGATCCTGAATTATGAATTTTCTTTGAGGGTGGAGGACCCGGAGCTTCTGTATCTTTAACAGTGAGGAGAGAGAGAGATGGGAGAGGCTGCGCGTGTACGGTTTCTTTTTCTCGCTCCGCGGCATCGGGAACGCGCAGTGGATCTCACACTCGCTGGAGAGGAAAAAAGCGACGGACCGAAACAGCTACTCACCGGGAAAATGTTCCCTCCACCGCCCTTCATCATTGCTGTCGACGCCTGCAAAAGTCATGTGAACAGATCCGCAACATTAAAGGACTCCAGTTTTTTCGACCATTAAACTTGTTTCAGAGGATTGTAAAACTCCAGGAAGTGATTAATAAGACACAGGAATTGAAGTTAACATTTTACAGGTAAGACGATTAAGTAGTTGATGCTATTACTACAGGTGAAAAGAAGCATTTACATCAAGATAGATTTAAAAAGAAGTGGAAAACATCGCTCCGTATAGGTTAATTGTAACTCAGTATCACAAGGGCATCTGTCCTTGTGATACTGACTGTAAAATACCTAGCTGTGCAAATTGATAATTTTGCAATTTAACTTTAATTTCTGAAAGTCAAATGGTTTTGATTCATTGCAAAAATCTAATGTTGTATCACCATTAATAGTGCCAGTATGTCGGGAACCGATTGTGAAGGCGCGCTGAGAGAACACCTGACCCTGAAATTGCTGCAAACATGATGACAGCATATGTGGATGCTTTTAAAACGTGTCCAACACTGCTATAAATATAAGTGAACATGCTGTTTTTTTGCAATGCATTGGTTAAGGTGCCCTGTAATTTAAAAATAAACTTTGCATGTGATCATTGGTATCAGATTGTGAGATATCAGCAGTTGATTTGTCTATGGTTGTTTTTGTTTTCAGTGTCTTTTATTTTGTAATGAAAATTGGAGTTGCATTAAAGAGCCTTGACGTAACCACACCACTAATTATGTTTAAGTGGATATTAGATGTAAAAGCTTTCCCATTGCATGTCCGCTGGTGTAATGGACATAATGAAGCTTATGTGCTTGCCTTCTAAAAATGTGCCTAATGTTTGATCATTAATGCTTGCAGGTGCAGAAAATGGCGGGACGGCTCCTTCAGCTCCTCGCCTTGTGGACTATCGTGGTCGGCGTTGTGCAGTGCTGTCCAGAGCTCTGCAGCTGCCAGGATAAAGTTGCCCACCAGTTTGCTGACTGTGCTTACAAAGACCTGCTGGTGGTCCCCCTGGGTCTGCCCTCCAACGTTACCACCGTGAGCCTTTCTGCCAATAAAATCAAAATACTGAGAAGTAAAAGCTTCATCAATATCACACATGTCACCTCTCTCTGGCTGGCCCACAATGAGATAGTTACCATAGAAACGGACACTTTGGCCGCCCTCGTCCAGCTCCGCAACCTGGACATCAGCTACAACAAAATTGTGAATTTTCCATGGCAGGATCTGCTCAACCTTACAGCCCTGCAGCTTCTCAAAATGAACAACAATGAGATGCTGAACCTTCCTAAGGACGCCTTCTCCACTCTCAAAGAGCTGAGGTCGCTGCGCATCAACAACAACAAGTTCACCACCATCGTGCAGGGCACCTTTAATGCTCTCATCTCCATGTCACACCTTCAGATTTTTAACAACCCCTTCACATGCTCCTGCAGCCTGGAGTGGCTGAGGGATTGGATTCTGACAACAAAGATCTCTGTCCTCGAGCCAAATATAGTTTCATGTGAGGCCCCTGAACACCTGAAGGGCACAATGGTTACATTGATTCCCAAACTGGATTGCAAGGCCCCCACTGTCAAAATCTCCTACGAGCCCAACATTGAGAACACTGAGCTCTACGAGGGTTCAATGGTTATCTTAAATTGTGAGGCACTAGGCAGCCCCACACCACAGGTCAGCTGGGAGGTCACTGCAGGAAATCAGAATAATTTGTTCCCCTTGCCCTCTACTGGAGAGGCAAATGATGTGCCAATTAATGATAAAACGACCAACAATCGTTTCCTCATCTTTAGAAACGGCTCTCTCATCATCCCTCACATGAGCAAAAAAGAAGATGGGAATTACAGCTGCTCTGCAGTGAATGATTTAGGTAAGGTAGAGAGCGGTGTTAAACTGGTTATGACAGGCACCCCGAAAAGTGGCAGCGATTCAACGGTGGACAAGATACGTCCATCTGTAAAAAAGCCAGAGCCCAAGATGTCCAAAACTAATGACATAAACTGGACCAAGCCTGACGAAAAGACAAAGGGCAGTGCTGACAGTTCATCAGACAAAAATGCTGTGACGGGGCAGGGTGATGGCTCAAAGAACCCCAACTTTGCAAGCAAGTGTGGCGTGAGAGAAAGCAGTGAATACATCACTAACCACGCCTTCAACCTGAGCTTGGATGACCTGAAGCAGTACACGTTTGATTTTGGTGTTATTGCATTAGAAGTGTCGGAGACAGAGGCCAAAGTGCAGCTGAATCCCCTGCAGCTTCCCAGCAGCAAATCTAACCTTCATCTGAGCCACACTGAAAACCAGGAAACAGTCAATAAAGAAGCCATCGGGCTGTTACAGTCCTCGACCAGTAAAACCACACTGGACATGCTGTACCTCTGTGTAAATACAGGCAATGGACACTCCATGGTTCAGTGGTCCAATATAGAGGAGGGGGTTAACGCCTACCGCTTCCATGGTTTACAGCCTGGCACCAATTACACACTTTGTCTGACTTATGGGGGGCAGGACTGCCAAGTCCAAGTAGTGTTCACAACCAGGAAGAAGATCCCCTCCCTGCTCATCATTGTGGTTGTCAGCATTTTCCTACTGGGCCTGGCCACTGTTCCGTTACTGGGGGCCACCTGCTGCCATTTGTTGTACAAATACCAAGGGAAGACCTACAAGCTGATCATGAAGGCTCAGAATCCGGACCAGATGGAGAAACAAATGACTGGAGATTTTGATCCCAGGGCGTCTTTTGTGGAGTCAGAGAAAACCTTCGACCCCAGCGAGTTAGGAGAGGGGGAGGGGGAGGCCGATGGAGAGGACGGAGACGGAGAGGCTGATGGGAGCGTGGTGACGTCCATCCCCGGATCCTCATCCAAAACCAACCCGGAGGAGTTTGAGGTGGGCTCGGAGTACAGTGACAGGTTACCGCTGGGGGCAGAGGCAGTCAACATCTCGGAGGAGATCAACGGGAACTACAAGCAGCCCAGCCGCTGAGCTCTGCGAGTACACTGTAACATATTTTACTTTAAGTAGCCTTACATCCAAGCAGGTAACTCACCCACCATTTATTCACGTGAACAACGATGGCTTATCATGCATAAAAAAGGTGGATCTTGTAATTCTTTTTACCTCAGAAAGTAGTCCGTCGATCACCTGAGATTGTGATTTGATTCATGTGGCATTTGTAGTCTATACGGTTAAAATAAGCAACACGTTTACAATACAAGCACATATTTCTACAGTTTATAAGATCTTGAAACTGACAGGAAAGAAGCAAAAATGTTCTCTTTATGCAGGACAGAGACACACGGGCAATATTGTGCACACGGCGAGGTGCGGAGTTTGCCGGAGTTACGCGTAACTGAAAGGAGAAAAATATATTGAATCACCGTTTTGGAGATTACAAAAACAAAAGTGCCATATGTTTTAAAGCCATTTAAAAAAAACTCACACCAGGGACCAATTGCTCTTACTTAACTGGGTCTGATGTGGATGAGAAATACATCTCATAGTTACCATCTCCTCAGGTGTCGCCACTCCGGCTCCGGGTTACGCATCCAGTCGCAGATTTGGATGAAGATTTTTCATTAAATGATGCTAGTTCACACATGGGTGTCGGTGCTGATTTGCCCACTGTCATGTGAGTCCAAAAATGGAAATATCACTCTTAACTGTGTTGTGCTTGACGGGAAATCCCAGGTTATTTACCAACAAAATGTTGTTTGACGTAATGTAAGGCTTTAAAAATGTGCGACTTTAACCAATTCATCCACGGGTGCTTGCTATACTCTCGCTTTTTACAATTAACGTGTCCATGGCATGTCACACGTATTTCCTTGTGTGGTTTTTATTAGTGTAGTGTAGAGGACTTTAGATGTTACTGTCTAACTGTGATGTAAAGCCATGTGAATTTAAATTATTATTTTTTTTACGGTAAGTTTCTATGAAGCCTCAACGAAAGGGCGCACTGACTGTCTTGTAATTGGATATAGTGAGTTTTTGTGAACTGTTGTAAAACGAAACTAAAAACAAAACCAGTGACCTTTCAAGATTTTTTGATATCATTTTATGTAAGTGGAATTAATAAAAACATGAAACTATACCGACTATTTTCCTGATTTGTCTTGGACCTTGCGGATTATTTCAAGAAATAAATATAACATCCATTATTTAATGTAGGACTTTCTGAAATAATAATTGTTTTAAAAAAATACAATCTATACCAGCAGTTGCCCGGTTAATTGAATTGTGCGTTTTTTCTTTAGTGCTTTTTTTTTAAATCATACGATCTTGGTTGAAGGTCTGTCATATTTGTTTGATCAAATATAAAACAATAGACAGGCTTTTGAAGAGTGTTGAAGAAAGAGGTAAAGAGAAACTGCTGCGTTTGAAATCGGAGATCAACACAAAGCCTCCCTTTGTCTTCACTTTGGCCGTGTACAGTTCATTTCGCAACACAAAGCATCAGCCGTACACCATGCATTTACATCAACCTGCCATAGAAACAAATATTTCAATACAAAGAGAAACTTTTGTTTAGCATTTATTTTCACAGTAATCAGAAGGACAATTCGGCTGTTCGTATTTTCACTTAAAAGTCGCCGTTTTACATTTAGATGTAGAGAAATAACGATGTAAAGTTGTAGAATATCAGAAACCATAAAAGACAACAATAAGACAACAATAAGAAAACGCTGTTAGCAGCAAGTGGATTTGGATTTAAATATCTACAAATAAAACAGAAAAACAAACACTTGAATTAGTCTGGTAGTTCCTATTCCACAGGTTATTTAATTGCACCAAATGTGTACAATTGGAAAAAAGGAATGTATTACCCTGTTTTGAAAATAGCTCATTATGTAAATTCATAAATAGTTAAATGTTCTACATATTAATACTCTCTGAAAAAAGGGATGCTTCATTGAAATGCATGTCTGTGTGTTCAGTCTGGGCGACTACAAATCTGAATTATCTGCAGTATATGATAAAACCGGAATTATGTGATTAACCTACAGGTTGAAACACAAAGCAAACAAGTGCTCTCCCAAAATAAGTACACAAACGTGTTGAGAATGGCACATAATGAGTGTGTTTGGACGAGATCAGTCAGCCACACAGGCTTTCCTACAGACTGGAGAGACATACACATCAGGGGAACATGAAGAGCACAAAGTGGAAACACAATCTCCAGACAGGAAAGGCTTGATGGATTCCTCTAAATGTGGCGCTGAATTGTAATAAGTGCACTTATTTCGGTGTCGAATTTGCCCAAAAACCAGAAGACTTGGTACCTATCCTTAGGGTCACATTTGTGTTTAGTTGTTGGCAGCCACCTCCGTCTCCTTGGCTGCTGCCTCCTTTTTGCTCCCGTCCATGGCGCTGCGGTTGAGGCTCCCATTCAGAAAGCTCTCAGTGGTCTGACGCTGGAAGTGCTTCCTGGTGCCCACCAGGGAGGGGTTGTTGACCAGCGTGTAGAGGAGCTGCCAGTGCCTGCGGGCCCTCTTTGCAGTGGACACTTTGTGCTGTTTCTTCTCCTGATTGACCAGCTGGATCCCTGAGGACATTTAAACATCATGATAGCACCTATGGTATGTCACGTATAAGCCCTATAAGATTTGTTTTTATCTTTTCTAAAATGGAACAGTACTTGGAGGCCACCAAGGACCAACTAGAAACTACAGAGAGAGTAATAATAGAAAGCAATCATATTCTAATCCTCTAAGCATAGTGGGAGCATATGGGCATGCCATTAACACTGAAAGCTTAAGCCCCTTGGGCCACATGAATACGACACAGGCAATTATCATAGCTCATCTGTGTAATCAGCTACGCGAGAACTAATGTCTGTAATACAATAGATTATTTCTGATAATGCATTGTTCTTTGGATGCAAACAACAACTCCACTGCACATGTGTAATTGGACTCAGCTGTGTAGAGCTGAATTCCACAACAACAAATGAAGGCTGATGCATTTTCCTGCTAATTGGTCACTATAATGTATGTCTTCTTGTCACCACACATGTAGGCAACTATCACTTCCTGTTTGAGCCCATACCATCACTGAAGATCAGCAACCAGCCTTAATGTAGCTATTTATATTTGTGTGTAAAATTACATAAATGATACATTGGGAGATTATCATGTATAATGGGGACCTATAGGACTCTACTGTCTCTTGTAGACAGAGGCCAAGGGCTCAGTGAGTGTGGGCACGCTGTGAAGTACAGCTGATTAGTTTATGACAGATCTGATTGAGACCAACAGCAGGACTGTAAATTATTCCTCACAAGACTCAATTTGCTCCTGACATATTAAATCACAACGGCTAAGCTTTCATTTATTCTGTGTGTGCAAAACAGTGTGATGATCTGATTATGTGTTACAGTGACCTGCCACTGAATTCTAAACCTCTCTGGAGAAATTAAAACCTTAATATCAATGTAAATCTACCGTTTATCTCCAAAGCAAAGGGCTGGCAATATTCTAAATTTGAGTATTTGTCATGAAGAAGATCAAATCCAACAATGAGGTTATCCTTCAACAAGAATTGACTGTGTGTTCTTTTATAACAATAAACATCGACACTGTAGTATTTAAAATTAACTCCCCATAAAGCTTCCTGCTGCTGTTTATACGCATTAAAGCACCAAATGTTCATACCAATTGAAAAGATTTTCAAACAAATGCACTATTTACATATGTTGCAGGAACATTTGCTTAAAACTACAGTGCACAGCTGTTTTGGCAACCAACCCTTTGTTAAAAAAATAAACTATATTTGTGACCAGTTTTTTTTTAGGAACGTTGCTTTTGGTCTATTCATGGGTTTCGTTGATAATAAGAACAACAAAAGGAACAACTAAATTATTATTATCTTAAGTTATGAATACACTGAATGCATTGTGATTCGAATCATTAGCACTCAGGAAAAGTCTGTATGGTTTGGTGCTACAGACCCTCTTCAGCGTCCCGTGCCCTCTGTGGAGAACTACTCTCCTGGCCCCCGGCCTGCAGCAGCATCCCACAGAAGGCCTTCATCACCGGGTGGGACTGGCTCACCTCTATCTTCAGATAATGAGCATAGCAGCGGTAGGCTGTAGACAGACACAGGAGGGAGGGGGGGGGCGGTTACTCTGACTGGGCGAAAGCAATAAACACATGGGACTGCACCCCATGTAGGCTTTGAGGCAATCACACATAATAGGCCATACAATCACACCTTTTTTTCTTTTTAAACCACCTGCTTTTCCTGACAACAGATGTCTTAAATCTGCAGCCATTTCAGAGATCGTGTGCAATTACAGTCCCGTGCACTGCACACAGAGACAGTGAGCTGCTGGCAGGGAAAGTGGAAAGGATACGCATTTCTGGCCTGTAAGTGGGATCAGTGAAAGTGCATTTGCTCATAGTAAATTGCTTCTCTTTAAGCCTCCACAGTGAGAAAAAACCACAGTGGCATCTACAAGGGTAAAAGCATAATGCTAATACCAGTGAATATGTTAACATCGTGTGTCTGAGAGTAAAAAGGAAACATGTAGGAAAATGTAAAATGTATCATTTACAATAAAACCGATTTGAATGTAGATGATATTAAATGTGACACTTTGATCTGGTCAGCTAACCAGACAGTGACATCATGATGACCATCTGTACCTGGGCAGTGCCCCTCTCACCTGGGTCAAACGCCTCCACGTTGCGGTTAAGGAGACTGATATCCATGCGCCCCATGTGTACGATGTTGAACAGGGCTGTGATGATGATGCGCCACACTGCCAGCAGCACCCCGATCAGAACATTGACAGGAAACAGCAGGTACGTCAGCAGGAACAAATTGCCCCTGTAACACAGGATAGGTTAAACATACTGGACCAGACTGCAATTAAAAACCATAAAATAACCGAACACGAAAGAATACATAGCAGCAACAACAAGTATAGTGACTCACCGGTTGTGTAAGTCTCGTGTGCCTGCAATTTTTTTGATGAAGCAAAACCTGCCAGTGAGATGTTGAATCAACACAGCCAAGACAATCATCAGCCAAAAGGGCCTAAAGGGAGACAAATCAACAATTAGACATCTCTTAATAAAGAACGATGTTATTGTGGGTTAAAAAACGTTTTTTAACCCACAGAACAATATATGACTAAAAGCCTTTTCTGTGCACCATACAGGTATCATGTTATTGTTGTTGATTTAAACAGTTTCAGGTTTCAAATGTTCAAGAACTAAGAAAGCAGCCAAATAGAACTGAAACTGAAATAATTTGACAACAGCGTGTTATGCTGCCTTAGTCATGCAGTCCGTGGACAGAGTGAGAAATGTGACGACACTCACCACATGCTCAACAGGATCTGAAAAAGGATCAGATTCTCTCCGTGCAGTATCGGCATGATGATGAGGAAGACGGCGACCAGAAGGCAGAGGAAGAACACCATGGTTTGGATGATCATGCCTGCAGAGAGGAGATCAGAGCTTTATGGCCTCAACGCTTACACCCTGTCCACTCCAGCATCCAACAGATCTACACTGCACACCCCTTCACCCCCATATCACTTTGAATGGAGGGGTGGGCAATAATAATAATAATAATAATAATAATAATAATTTCTCTTGGAAACCTCAAGAACAGATATTGAGAAGTATCCATTCATGAACCACAAATAAAATCCTAAAAATATTCAAAGCTTAGTTTATGTTGATGGTACACACACAAAGAAACACACACCGACATAAAATGATTTGTGACCAGATAACTGAGTGATATTAATATGTCATGATGTTTTTTAAATGGACTGGCTGAGGCTACCTGGCCAAAGTGAATCATTTAAAAAATATCTTCTCTGTTTAGTGGTTAATATGTAAAGTAGAGTACAAAAAGAGATCTAAGGTTTAAAAGCAAAACAACATTTAAAAAAAAAAAAATGCTGGAAATATGTTTTGAAATCCTCATCACAATCTCTATTATTTATTTCTTCGCTTATAATATACTAAACTGCGCAAAGTCAATATATCCCCTGTGCCATAATCTGAATTCAACCTTTCAGTCTGTGTATTCATTTTATTTTTGCCTTTAACTGTTTACTGATGCTATTTGATATTGCATCTCTTTCGCTTCTGTAACACTAACACTCTCCCCGCAGTGGGGCTAATAAAGGATTACTTATCTTATGTTATCTATACTAATACATGTGTAACTGTACCGAGGAAAACGTGAGCCGCAGTGAAGCTGGTGTATCCCATCCAACAGACCAGCGCTGGCCGTGAAGCCCTGATGCTTCTCTGGCAGTTGTAAACATTGTAGATATCTCCTCTATACAGCCCCTTCAGGTTCGACCTACAGACGCAAAGACACAATCAAGACAATGCAACACTATGCAAAACACTCATCAATAAACGCACAAATTGGGTAGTAAATTGAGGAGGTAATTTAGCATGGGATGCAGCCGAAATCCAATTCAATACTCGACATGGAAACCCATTTATTTTAATACGGCGTAATTTATGGTAATGGACCAGTATTTCATTTCTTATCTTAATAGCCATTTTCAATTCTAGCGGCAGTTAACACTGAGTGAATGCTAGTATGTCTCTCTGGATGATTAGTACTCTATTATGTTTTAATAACTCCTCTGTGAACCATAATGTTGTCATGAAGGAACCAGAATGAGAATCATGCGCATGATGCTTGGACCTTTTGGGAAAAGAATAGAAAACATAAGAAAAACACAATCATTGTCCTTTTCTCACACCTACCGATGCAGGACCATGGACCGCATGAGCATGGCCAGGCTCACCAAGCCGGAGAGGGTCATCGCCGAGATAAAGCACACTGCAGGACAGAGAGCACACAACGAACAGGTTGTTAACTGTGGGAGGAAGTCATTAATTGACAATTAGCATGGCAAATATATGTGCAACAAGCATTAGAGAACGATTATGTTAATGTTATGAGACACTAATGTGGCGTTAGGTTAACGGTAAGGTTCATTATTTGTGTAGCACATTACAGATACAAACCATTTAAAAGTGCTTTACATAAGCATTAACACACAATAAAATAAGCTAAACGTTAAGACACTTCATAAAGAGATAAAAGGTAGTTCAATAGAGTTAGTTGAAGCTGCAAGACGTGCAGAAGTGTAACAATGAGATGTTGTTAAATGACCCTATGGTAAAAAGAAAGGTTTTTAGCTTCGATATATAAAGAGTAATGTCTACAGGGTTAGGACTTCAGCAGATCTGGAAGTTTGTTCCAGATCTGCAGAGCATAAACATTCAAAGCTACATTTACATGTTTTGTTCTGACACCGGTAATAATGTGTACCCGTGTCCAAGATGATCTGAGATCTCTTGGTGGCTGGTAGAGCAGCATGTCAGACATGTATTGTGGTCCCAAACCATTCAGCGTGACTATACAAGCTTGTGTATATTCTGGATATTTCATACGACTAATTGGGTGTGTCTGGTTTCACTCACCTTCTACACACCACATGTAATGTGTAACTATTCTAACCACTTCATGTTTGTCTGGAGACAGCATAATCTTGAAGCCAGCTAAAACGTTGGCGATGTCTTCATCGATTCCTGAGCGGGCGGTCTGGAGAGGAGGCACCACGGCCGAGATCATAAGAAGACCCACCTACACAAAAAGCAAAAACAAGTAATTAATTAACAAATGGAAATTATATTATTATTTGGATCATCACCTGCTGATTAGCTGACAAGGAGGTGAATACAGTGTGTAGCTAAAGGTGTCTACTGACAGACTTTCGCTATTATAATTGTAGATATTGCACTTACCTGATACAGGGTAATAAATGACACCACGCCAGATATAGCCAACTTCAGAGGAAAACGGAAAGCTGTTTGGAAAAGAAAAAAACTTTTAGGACATAAGACCTTGAACATGCCGTAACACAAGAGCAAAAGGACATGCTTACCTTCCTCTGGTGTATAAATGTATGACTTCACTGCATCAATTATCCTTTGATGGAGCTTTGGCGTTTCAGTGCTGGATGTGCTGAGGTGAAAGGTAGACAGAGAAACACATTTACACTAAACTGCAATGAATTGGTGGGATTAAGATTAGGAAACTAGCGAATAAACGAGATAGTTTATCCACCAAGCTCACATACATAAAATATATATTTTAAAAAGAAGAAGTGTAATGGCAAACTTTGTTTACATGAAGGTTAAGGTTTCTTATGGTGCAGACTTTCTATAAAGACCATACATGGACATATCCACTGCAGTTCTTAAAATGATGTGTTCTGCTTGTAACCTTTACTAGTACTATCAGCATTTTCTATAATAATATATATCTGCTTAGGACCTCTGTCAGCATTCTGCAAGTGTGTCTGCAATGATATATTGACACTCATGACCTTAAAAATGTCATAGTCAGGTCTGGGTGATGTGTTTTAGTTCATGTCCTCTGTCTCCCTGGAAAGTGACATTTAAGGTCGCCTCAGGTCTTAAACTTAACGAGGGGGCTGGGTACCAAGCGCAGGGCAATGGGCAAGTTCCTGTTTAGTTTCCCTGTCTTATAATCAAGTTCCCCATTTCTTAGCTTCCATCTGTTGCTGACAAGTTTCCTCACTTCCCTCTCGCTGAACAGGCCCTTGGCCCCAAGCATTCTTAACAAATGGAGGAAAAATTGATAATTTATCTGGATTTAATTCATCATAAATCTCAGCATGACACATTGGTAATTTGCATTGACTATGTGAGGAAACAATTCGTTTTACAAACAGCGCAGCAATCTATTTCCTGTGGATAGTCTTCCTTCCACACTATCATTGATCATTCTATTGTAATAAATATAGTTTGCATTTCATTCTCTAAGAAATGTGTTTACTTGGATCACTAAAAATGTATTACAGAAGGATGGGCTACAATAAAGCCAGGGAGTTATTTCATCCTCTTTAAAATGATATTATTTCACACTCTTCAAACTGTTAAAATGGGTTTGAAACAATATAATACATGTTGGTTGTAACAAGGATTTGAGCACATTATAGGTGTTTAGTAGGCTTGCCTCTTGCTATTAGAAATCTGTACAAGAAACAATGTCTACCAGAGCCGTGACAAACGTGCCCTTAACCTCTCAAGCTTCATGATGATTCATTAAAAAGTAACATCCAGCTCAACAAGTTCTGTTCATCCGAGTCTTTAGTTTTAGGAAAATAGTTCCCACTGCTGCTGTGATTAAAGGCTCGATGTATTTGTCATTTGCAAAAATGTTTAGTCGAAGGATAAACATAATAATAATATACGTCACTGAAAACAGATACAAAATTCTCACCTGATTTTGGTAGGCTTCTTCTTAAGGATTTTCTTCACATAGTCGTTATAGTAACTGCTGCTGAGATCCTAAGAAATGGAAACCATGTTAAAAAACAATTAAAGTAAATAGTAAGAAGGTTAAGTTAGTTGGGCAAAGCATAGTATATTTGGGTTAGGATTGCTTCAAACTGTTACGGCATTTGGCACTGTACAAACCTAAACATAACTTTTGAATTTAACATGAGGAAAAAGCATTGCTAACAAACTAAGCCTCTTTACGATAAGTGTCTGTGCATATTTATGGTGTCAGGTACGTTGCTGTGGGGTGTAGCAGAGAAGGAGGGGGGAGTTTGTTAAACTCGAGGCAATCGCCTCACCCCCTCTTCTCACCCATACAGAGATTAGCATCAAATAAACACAGCATTGTTTTGCCTTGTGAAACAACAAGGCAACCTTTTCATAATCTGATCAAGAACATAACGTAAACCAATTACGTCAAATCTACCTAAAATGATTATACTTGCATGCTGCGTTGGACTTCATTTTCCCTCAGCCTAGACTGTATGAGCACGGTAAGCCCCTTGATTAGCAGGCGGCTTTCATAAGTTCCACACGTGCACAGATTCAGAAGAAATGTGCATCACAGGGAGGGTTTTTTAATAGTTCAGGCCTACGTGGAAGTTGACTACTTATGAATCAACATAGACACAGGCCAAACAATTAGTGCCATAAGGGCTGTTCAACCAACCTGAAGCAGGCATGGCAAACTTACCTCTGTTGCGTTGTTCTTTTCCGTGCCCTGCAAGCCCTTGAATAGGAAAAGGGGATACTGGAAACTAAGGAATGCCAGGCAAGCTATCTGGGGCAGGCTGGAGAACAGGGAGTAGTGTTTGTGTATCTGCAAAGGAATAAAAGAAGACTTTGAATCACCAAGCAACTTGTTTTGAGAGTTTTGCAGTGACACAGTAAAACTACATGTTGGATTGACTAAGACAGGGGAACACATGGCTTTGTTTGTTGTGGTGGGAGTCTGCATATTGGCCAAATGGGATCACAACAACACACACACATCTGAAAACTGTATTGATCTATTCATTATGATTTAGGGCCATAGAAAATGCATTTACATCAAATGATGTGATCTACTAGCGTGCACATTTTCTTCATGTTAAGAAAGGTATATTATATGTTATTATTAGGGCCGGGACTCGATTAAAAAAATTAATCTAATTAATTAGAGGCTTTGTAATTAATTAATCGAAATTAATCGCATTTTTAATCGCATATACATATTTGACCTAAGAACAGTGAGAAGCAATTTTTTTTCACATGGATTTTAGTATACCATTAGGCGCATTCACACCGCAGTACTTTTCCCACAAAGGTTCATGCGAATTTAGTTCATGAGAACTCTTTGAACCTGGGGGAGGATTAGGCAAATGAAGCCGCTGACGTCACTTCTTCTTCTTCTGCTTTGGGTTTACTGGCAGGCCGCAAACCACTTCACGGCGTATACTGCCGCCTAAAGTCCCCGGCCGGAAGTCCCCGGAATTGGGGACTGGCTTCAGTAGAAGCTGCTGGGAGTCCCAGCAGCCTTCCGAGTAAATCGCCAGAACGCCGACACCTCCTCATCTCCACCGCTCCCATGTTTTATTTTGTGTTGCCATAAGTTAGTCTCTCTGCGTTTCTGCGCTGGGCTAATGCTAATAATGCTAATGCGAGGATAATAAAATGGCGGCTTCACAAAACTTTTTGGGAGTTTTACGGGGCGTGGTTTGCAATCTGCCCAGCCAATCAGAAATATAGCTCTTTTCTCACAAGAGAGCCGTACGAAAGTCCCTGCTCTCTAGCAGCTCTCTGCTCTCTAGCAGGGACTTTCGTGGGGGTAAAAAGGTTCTCATGAACTAATTTGAGTACCGGCTCTTTTTGGTGTGAACGCGATAAAAGAGGCTAACGTCCACGCTAGCTTCCACGCTAGCTGCTATATGTTTTTGCATTGAGGTGATACTTGAGGCTTGATGTGCTGCGGTGATATGCGAATTCCTTTTTGCATAATTTGCACACAACCGTGCTCTTATCGGCGCTTCCATCCGTCCGTTTTTTAAAACAACATTTCCCACTGTTGTTCACTGTGGTTTGTTGTTGTCTGAAGTCATGAACGTTAGTTGGTGCTCCAGTATAATCGGTACGCCTGAAACTCATCCAGTGAGAAACGTTCCGCGGTGCAAAAATAAGTGCGATTAAAATGCGTTAATTTTTTTAACGCGTTAATTTTTGTGTAATTAATTAATCTTAATTAACGCGTTAAAGTCCCGGCCCTAGTTATTATATATATGACGTTAATTAAAATGTATTCTTTTGTCTGTATGTCAAGCTTAGTCATGCAGATCAGCTCAGATGCTGATGATGTGTTCCAGCTCATCGGGGCTCATTGTCACTGTTAAGCAAAAGAATGGATGTCTCTTTTACTGACACGCACTAAACTGATTAACTGTGTCAAAGCTTCTAGATTAAGTCCAACAGACAGGGGAACGAATTGTTTCGAGTCGTAGACATTCATGCACAGAAAACTTAAACAATATGGATCTTGCACTAAATCTGGGATAGGGTAAGGTTAACCATGAATCCACGAATTCCTGTGTAAAGCCTGATATTCATCTTTTCAAATCACATCTCTTACTTCAAACCAGCTTTAATGAATGAGACAAGGAAACAACTCATACAGATGACAAAAAAGTGCCGATTAATCCAATGACAATGTAGAAAATCCTCATGAATCTCTCGCTGTCTCACGCTTACCAGAGGTGTTCTCGGACAGTCTATTTTCTGCCAGACCAGAACACCAAAGTGCGTCCAGGACAAGAGGCTACCAAGAACATAGCCAACTTTATTATGCAAAGTGCCACATGCCAGGAGAGGGTAGTATAGTGCGGGGTAGTAGAAGATTCCCAAGATCACCCAGTTCTCTGCAAACAGAACAAAAGTGAAGACACACAGCATCAAAGCAATATAACTGATTTGGTATTTACTAAAACAAGGGACACAAGATTGAAACTTTGACAAATAATTCTGCTTCACTGTTAAGATTAATAAACCTTTTCTTAGAAATGTGTGTGGTAGTGACTATAAGATTGAGATAAGAATTAAGATCTAACTCTGCTGAACCTTGTACTGTTTGGGGATTGTGTAAAGTAGAAAGGAACACACTCTTTCTAGTCGATTCTTATGTAATATCAATTCAGAAAAAAGTTAAAAACAACAGGGTCACATGGAAACAAACTAATCCAATTACATAACAGATATTTTACAAAATAAATAATTTTTTGTACGCATTTGAGGGTCTAATATTATAACAGACCCTTTATTTTATCTACTTGTGTAAAATAAAGGCAGTGCATCATCTTAACTACTGAGGTAAACATTAAAACGTGGCTATAGAAGATTTATAGTGAATAAAGAAAGGCTGATGCTAGAGAAGAACCAAGGTGACCTCCTCACGTTTATTCTCCGTGTCTGTTGTGAAGGGGAGGGGGTTTGGCGATATGATCAGGCCCCACAGTTTGCACAGCAGCACTCCAAACACAGCCACTGCAAGGCCCTTGTGCTGCGTATGATCCAGGAAGTTGACCGGACTGTGAAATCAAGCGGCAGGTATTTAGAGCCGACATGTTACCCGCCTCACATTTGGATGAAACGGTTACTGAGCAGAGATGACACACATTTCAAAACGGCAAACTAACATCCTCACATAAAGATGTGCTACCTTCCAGGTTGTTCTTGACATCCGTTAATGTCAGTAAAGTGAAATAGACTACATGACTTGTTTGACATAGGAAAATACATCAGTTTTCCAACTCAACTAATCCAAGAAAGGTTCACAGATGAATGATCTCATCAGCGCCCCCCTCCAAAAAACACAATTTACACATTCACACCCACAAGTGACCCTTTATGACCAGTTGTATCTTTTGGCCACTGAGCAGATTAAAGGGCTAATTCCTGGAGGTTATACCAGCCAGTCAAAAGATTTAAGAAGGGCCCCAATGCTTTAAAATGATTTCCTTGCTGTGTTGTGTTAAAGGGTTTTTTGGGAAACAAAAGTCATGATTTTACTGAGCTAAAAATCGCCTTTATTAAATGAAAAGCTAATGGTTCTTATTGCATCTATGTTTCTATATTGTTTATCTTCTGATGTAAATGCTATAGCTTCAACAGTATTCATTCTTTATTCTGAATGTTTACTCACATTTAACCATGGTGTTCATTGTCATTAAAGAACAAAGAGATATAGAGCCTCACCTGAGTAAACCTGGGAGTCCTTTCTGTCTGTTGCCCACTTTCCGTTGTCTGGCTAAGATTGCTAGGATCAGCATGACCACGAGCTAAGAGGAGAAGAAACATCAGTTAGCATTATCTGCAGAGTAGCATGCAGCGGTGGGCTCCCCAGGGGGCAAGCATCACTCTGCTTCTCACTCAAAATGAGTTGATGCCACAATAGGCCAAACTCCAATGTCTCATTAGTGCTCCCCATGGATGTGGTCTGAATGAATTGTCATCAGTCAGGATCACTGACCAGGGAGAGTTCAATGACCTGCGACACATTCAGGAAACACAAGGATAGGAAGACCCCCGTGCTCTAAATTGGACCATCTTTGAAACAGACATCAGAAGAAGGAAGTGAAGGAAGGAAGTGCATACCAAGAAACATCATTAGGAAACATGGCTTGATTATGTGTAATGCTAAGCAAAATGGTTACGATAAGGAACATTAATAGAACTCATAATGGTGAGTGAGTGAGGAAAATGTACCATTATGGCCATAGAGCTACATTGGTATATCACTTAATTATATTATACATTCATATTTGAGATGTATTAATTGATGTCTATGATATAACTCTAAATGACTTGGAGAGCAACTTTATTATACTGCATATATAATAGTCTGCATTAAAGAGGATAGGCATATACAATTATTTCGATTTTTTCCAGATCTACACCTGAATCTGGATCAAAACCCCTGAATAAGAGCCCTTCAATTCATTTAATTATATAATATATTTTTAGAGATATCTAGCTAACTATTAGCCAAGCAAACTTTGAGAACTGACAACATTAGACAGGATTGACTATGACAGCCAAACCTTGTATAGCTTTATTACAGGAAAGAAAACAATCATCTTTCATAAAACATGTTGTATGTCTGTCAAGGTGTAATATAATATTAATCACACTGTGAAGGAATGAGTGTGAGGTTGCAACAGGAAATCAGACTTACAGATATCGCAGTGATGCAAATGTGGTAGAGCCTGTCATCAGCGGTAGGGTCACATGGAGGGATTATTCTAAAAAAAGGAACAAAACACTCACACATGATGAAAACAATCAAACTTTAGACTCGAGGATTTGAGTCACTGAGCAGACCCACACCTCACTAAACCTTGCACACGTCACTGTGAAGACTATTTGCGGCTGGAAACTTTGTGGCTGAAATCCTTCAGACGAGATTTGCATTTAAACGGATTGGTATCAGCGTGACACAGGAAAACAACAAATGCCAATGTTCACGTTCCTGTACACTAGAAGAGCTGGAATGCCTGGTCATGAGGTAGTAATTACAAATCTCAAAATCAGAGGAGGCTTTTCAAAGCTGGGGGACTTACAGTATTAATACATAAAACTATATACATTGTATGGTTCCTGATAACACCAGTTGTTTTTCTTCTTTTCAAAACAGTATTTTACCTGTTCAACCAATGTGTGCAATTGTAACTCAGAGAGCAGAGTGTTTGTAAATGAATTAAGGAAATGTCAAGATTTCTTGAGTCAGAGCCAACTGTTGAGGAATCAGAGCAGGATGTTTAGGTATTTAAAAATCAGCTAGCTAAAATAAAGTGTGCTACAGTAGTGGCAACATTAAAGCTTTTCAACCAAAACTCAACACAGTCTTTCCATTTACAGGCAGATATTTATTAGCTCAACATGGAGGCTAATGATAAATTACACGTGTTAGATCGGTCATATTTGTGTCATATTACTCATCTGAGGCCATTATTGAGTACTAATATTCTTTCTATTCAACAGTCTGTGCCATTGTATATATAGTAATGCAATATAGGTGTAAGAAACACCCTAAAAATAACTGGAAATACTGCCCTGTTGCATTGTGGGATGGGCCACGAGCAAAGAATGATGCCTGCATCAGCTTTGGGTTTTGTCCCATTATGATGTTGTACCACATCTTTACTTTTTGTGGGTGAAAAAAATACAGTAAAACATTTATAAAAAGTGAGTTGTTTTGGGTTGAAAACACTTATTTTGTTTATACTGTCAAACTTTTTTGGGGGAAAAACTGACATAACGTGTATTCTAGAGGCATCATAATGAGGCACGCTGGTACTGTGTGCCAAGTTGCCATCTTCTATCTCAATGAGAGCTGTACAGTTGGTAAGACTTTGAAACTTTTGAGAAAAACCTAAATATGGACACACTGAATTTTACATGATAGTAAGTTGTAGACAAACAACTAAAGCATACAAAACTAAGTGGATATTTTTTTCTAAAAGCATTAATCATAAGTCTACTGAAAGACTATAAGAAAGTACTCACTCTGCTTCAATTTTGGATGGCACAGGACCCAGGTCTGGGTACTCATAGTCCAGGAATTCATTCTTATCCATTGTGTCTCTTTTTTAAACAGGTCTTAAAAGGGAGGCTGAAGACCTGTTAACCAGGATATCTCAGGCGACACACCGCTAAGATCCCCTTGAATGGAGAGATAAAATGTCCCAAGTCCCACGTCGGACTCTGTCGTTGCAGCAGAGGCTTCCTTACTTCCCTGTGTTTGGTGTCGTCTCACTCTAGCTCTGTTACTCTCCCTCACAGGCAGTTTTCAGGTGCCCTCGTCCCACGGTGGAGCTGAGAGTAATGTGACAGGTCCTTGCTGCAGCGTGCTGCCACAACCCTGCAAAGGCCCTTTTTCAGCTGAGGGTAACCAACACACTGGGATCCTGGGGAGAGAGTGAGAGGGGGGCAGTGTGTGAAAGGAGGGAAAATGTTGAGATCTGGGCAGCCAATCTGGAGGGCCACCTGCGGCTTACTGGGATTACATCTACTTTTGGGGTTGTGTTATTGGACCTGTGGCCGATGGCAGAAGGGGTCAGATGTGCAGTTATAAAACTCCAGCTAGGGTTGTGTGGGAAGCTGGGAGTGATGGGCGTTTTCCATCGGGCCAGTGTTCGTCATTGATAACAGGGAAATCTCATGATGTTCCTCATAGTCATGGATCACTTTTTGTGAAAGGCCAAATGGAGCCAAACAATGGAAGAAGTTTAAAGGACAGGCAGTGACACTTCAACACAACTCTGTATCTTCAGACTGATAAGGATCAAGGAAGGGTTTATTCAACCCAGTATTTTGTCTACAGCAGGTCAATTAAGATAAAGATATTCAAGGGCATGTTCACGTGCACATAGTTTTAAAAACCAGATACCTGCATCTTTTATGTTCATTTTTCTTTTTTATACGTTTACAAGAAAAACATGACTTATCCGAAATGTGACAACAGGTGATTTCCAGATAGCAACACAAGTAATCCTGTGAACAATCGATAAAGATCATACACAGATAATGAGAACCGTAAATCTACATTTCTATGCGGATATGAGGACATGATATGAGAATGAGCTGGATTTAACAATAGGTGCAGTCACAATGCCCCGAGGGAAGAAATGTCAACCAAGCCTTTTGTCCCCATTCCTGTGGTGTCAGCTTATAAAACACAAACAATATCCCACAATAATCATCGACAACTCTCCATTGTATGGACCTAAAAAGGAGTATGATGACTACAGTATTTAATCATTACAGCTGTCTCAATCATAATAAATGTAATTCATTCATTATCATGCAAAGATAAACAATCCAAATGTCAAGTTTATGAGGATTTGCAGATTTTTCAACCTTTTTGGTTTCAACTGTTTTTATCAACATGTCTTATGTCAGTGTGACCCAGCTGTTCTCATCCTTGGATCTTGGCCTGAGAAGAAACCTAGAGCTCTTGAGTCATGACAAATGTCTGTTATATATTAATCACAGTCCAGCAGCACATTGTTCACCAACATTTTTATTTTTTTCTTGGGTTAATTTCCTTTACATATTTTTGATAAGCAATTATTTTCCTATTGAACCCAAGAAAATGTATGAGATAAAACAGTCATAAAGTCTGGCAAGATTATCACAAAGAGCCTCCAACGTTAGTAACCATAAGAATGTGAGTGCTAATCAGACAGGATGAGGTCAAGGGTCATTGCAACACCTACAGTAGCTCAAGTAATTTTCTATAAGCAACAAGTTAAATAAGGCATCAGCCAATGCAATGACATTCCTATGTTTTTATATGCACAAATATATATACAGAGGGCTGTACATATCTATAATAAGTCTGCAGAGATTCCTGCATTCAGCTGCAGCCGGGTGAGACTAAGTCCGTTTTGCAACACTGCCTCCATGTCAGCATACACTCATTATGCCGGGATTACAGTCACACAACTTTAAAAAAACAACACAACTTTCCTCCTAACACTCCTGAGAAAACAGTTTCTCAAGTAAGCCACCAAATCAAATGTGTTCCCAAAGAAAAAGCAGCCCTGCAAATAAAAGGGTCACTGAACAAAGAATGCTTTGAACAGTTATAATTACATCAGAGAGCCAAACTTTGATTTAACCAGACAGTTCACTTGTCTCAGGTTTAGGAAGTCGGCTTTAAAGTCTTTTGGTTGTAAATATATTAAGCATGAGCCTTGTGAAAACAAATATAATTGATTTACTAATCCATTGCTAACTATTCAAACAGAAACACCATCAACGGTGACAAGTCAAGCACACACAAAGTAGTTAGAAGTTTAAGAGACCCAGTTAAGACATACCAACCTCAGTGCTTAACAAATATATTACAATATAAAATATAATGCATAGATATAAAAAATGCTAACTCTCCCTTTAAAGGTTTTATCCCACCCCTCCATGACTATTAGTAGGCCTACTGCTAAAACAACGTAGGCTTACATTTTCTGTAGATTCGCTCTTTTCATACTGACTTTAATTCACTGTGAGGAACGCAAACGCTTCTTAGGGAAATCACTTTTTGTCATACATTGAAACAATTGTCTGTTAAATGATTGAATTAAATGACACTCAATTGTATTCGCAGACATTATTTTACTTCCCACAGCTGAGCATGCGGTCTCTGTGGAGGCAGCTGCAGCTGGGTCCTCTGGATTTTGTTTCACACAGACATCGTGGACACATTTCCTCCCTTTGAAGCTGAGTTTGATCTTCTGACAACAAAGAGACTTTCAGCCTGAGAGCCACGGCAGGTAACTGAGTCACCTGTGCCTCTGTTTCTCGTGGAGGCCTGCAGGACTATAGGACGCTGCGAATTTATGTGTATTTTACGCGTAGCTATATGATTGACCGACGCGCACTTCCGAAGGGAAACATACAGCATGGATGTTTTACTGTGAGTTTATTTTAATATGAGCACCACAGGCTAATCAGTTTTCTGCACTTTGTGATGCTAGGCTACTTACCGACCGCCTGCAGGTGTGCTGCAGCGCCATGTGGGCGTGCAAGGTGGAGTAAAGTAAAGCAGGTCTGCAAGCACCAGCAGTTCGTTTTATCAAGCGCCAAAACTAAAATACTGCGCCAAGGCTGCATTTCAGGCCGACTTGACCATTTCTAGCACTAACTACTCCCAAATATGCACACTAAAGCATACACAATGCTCTATAGTTGAACATCTTACCTTGTGCTCTCCTGGCTTGGAGAACTTCAAATGACTTGAGTTTAAATCTCTTTTCACTTTACATCCACCTCAGAGGAGATCAATATTCCCATATAGAAACAACAATCTCAAGTGCAACTTCTCTTTTTTTTCGGACACTTCAAATGTAGTATGGTTGGGACTTTGACCCATCTCTATCTTGTTGTTTATGAACCATAAACGTGCTGCTGCAAGCTAACAGAGGAATCAGTGTTGTGAAACATGTAGAGGTGACTAATGGGGTCAAGTTTTATGCAAGACTAAGAAAACTGGATGTTTGTAATATATGATTTATGAGATTTTAAGAGATTTTTTTTTATGACAAATATTATAGGCTTGTGAAATCATCTATCAAGTTATGCTGTGAATGTTATTTCTACTCAATGAACTTTGTGACAACCTGCTGGTTTTTATTGCTCTGTTGACATTTCAGGTCAAAGAGGGATTGTTCCTGCCATAATTGCATTGACAAAGAAAACATTGACTTTACTGACACATAATTCAGATTTTACAGGAGTTTTTTTACAAGGGATTCGCACCACGGTGGAATATAAGAAGGCTGAGAACGGGACTCTAAAGTTCAACAATGGAACATTTCTGGTACACACTGCAACCTTCTGGTGGAGACTTCTTTAAGCCCAATTCTTGATGCACTGAACATCATTGTGCAGACCAGCATGGGTTAGGTTTGCACTAGGGATGCACCGAATATTCGGCCACCGAAAATTATCGGCCGAAAATGGTTAAAAAGGCCCTTTCGGCTTTCGGCCGAAAGGGTTTTAGCACCGAAAAAATATCACCGAATGTCAGAACAGGCTTACGTCGGTAACCTAACGTGTTGTTGTGATGACGTAATAAAGACGCGGCGACCATGCTCGCGGCTGGCTCACAGGGGGGGGGGGGGAGACATTGACCTTTGTCATCGAGATTACTCGTGATGGAGCTACAGAGCTGCTAGAAAGACAGTCGAACCCGGTGCATTCCTCCGTCTGCATGCGGTGCACTTTTGCTAAATGTTTAGACAAATTGCTCGTGCTTACATGCTAAACTCTTATTGCACTTATGGTAACAAGTATTCTCCACATCGAGACGGGTAAAGTTTAACCACACCTCGGAGCGCGTTCTCTCCGCCATCTCCGCAGTGTGCTCCGCTGCATGTAGCAGCTGCGTGTGTGTAAACTGCCCCGCCCCCTCGCACACAGACGGGGGAGAGAGATCTCGTCTGATCGAAAATACATCATAGACGCATTTGTTGTCTTTGCATATTAGAAACGAGTTGGCGACACTAAGACTGCGATATAATGTTTTTTAGCAATAATACATGACATATATAAATGTACTGTATGCATTCAAAAGTGCTGAATAAATGTTTTATGGACCCATAATAGTGATTATTATTTAAGTTAAGTTTTGCCATAATCATGTCTATTTCCATAATCAGGTAGCTGAACAACATTGGTAAAAAATGTATACCTTATATATATATATTTCTATTAATCATTTTCGGCCTTTCGGCATTCGGTTTTCGGCCAACTGTTTCCTATTTTCGGTATCGGTTTCGGCCAATAATTTCCCATTCGGTGCACCCCTAGTTTGCACCATCACAAAAAACGGATTGGTCCTTATCTTTATCATCGATTTTTTAATTGTAAGATTCCTTTATTTACATGTGTTCGTGTTTCTTCTGTTCTGTAAGAAGAGGAATCATCATCTGAATGCAGAAGCTGTGCTTGTGAGGGGATCAGATCAAGAGATTGATGTTCTAGCTGGTGAGAAAACTATTTTGGCTTTACTGCAACTGTCTATTAAGCTGTTAACAAATAACATTAAGACACAGCTAAAACACAGCTGTGAGTTTCACAACAAAACTCACAATCTCATTCCCTCAAATCCAGCTCCAGTAATAGTGAGCAGTAAAAATGTCGCTCTTAAAATTGGCATCATTATATCAACAATTTATTCACATTGGTGTCCTGCAATAACATTTTATACTGTCTCATTAGTGCAACAGTGTCTCTATTCAAATTAGATTCTGTTTGTGTTCATCGTAACACAACAATTTGTATTTTAGGATTTACCCTTAGGGGTTACAGAGCTGGTGTGTCCAATAGTTTGAATCTAAGACCTGTTTGTTATTCTTCTCTTTTTCTAGCTTCCTGC